TTCCCTACAGGCACACCAAGGACCTTTGTGCTCATAGCCTAGTATCTTCCTTCTCTCAAAATGGCTAGTTTTTCCAGTTTAAAAACAAAAAATACAAAAACTTCCAAACTTAAAAAGAAAATTTACAAATGCATAGTGAAAATCAAAAAGGATGACACAGAGTGATGAGGCTTTCATGCTGACATGCATTAGACACCTGTCATAACGGACAATTAAAGATTACATGACGTTTCCCTGGGTTATTATTGGTGCTATTTCAAAACTATCAGCTTTGATAACAGAAAGAAAACAGTTGGGTTCTGCCAGGCTTTCAAGAAGTCACTTACACAGACTAGAAACATGACCGTGATCCAAAGGTCCTCAAGTTTCTAATCATAATTAAATATCAAAGGCCTTAGCTAAAGTCCTCAACATTTAAATCACAGGGGAAAATATACCTACAAATGACCTGAGAAACTAGGGGTGGGGGTGATGGGGGTAGATGAAAAAAAAAGACAAACAAGGAAAACACCCATTACTGTTAAGCAGCAAAAACCCTTGTTAAGAACCAGAAGTTGATATAATCTTCAGTTTTGGAAAAAAACTGTCAGGATGGGCTAAATTATTTTGTATTAATTCCAGGTGTCTGAGAAAATAAACCACTAAAAAAGGGTTTTCCTAAACTGACATTTCAATTTTCTGTGGTTGGACACCAGTGAAAATATAAACACAAAATTTCAAAGATATTCAAAATATTTTCAATAATGTAATGTCATTGCTAGTGTTTAAATATGAAAATAAAAATACAAGCAAAATTTGGAGAGTACGTCAAAGGCATTTCACGATGACATATGGCTAATTAATGCCCACTGAAACAAAAGATGACTTACGAGCCTGCAGACAACTCTTCTTTCTATTATTGAAATCAGAAATTTGAATGGATACAAAAATAAAAACTCATCTCTGATGAAAAACACAAGTTTTGAAATATGCACAATTAAATTAGAACTGTACCTGCTACATCTCTCTGAAAAAGTCAGTGAAACCACCACCACACACCAATGACTGACCAAAGAATTCTGATTTTAAAAGCACCTACTCACTTCCTGCATACTAGTGTAAGCATAAGACATATGTGGTTTGTAACATACTCCTCAATTTTTACTGAACAGTTACTGCTACAAACCAAAAGTGCATATACAGGATACAGAACTCAAGAGCCAATGATAAAAATGTGTATGTAAAAGCAAACTCTCTGGGAATAAACCACGTATTTTAAGAGAAATACTCAAATACCTGAATAAAATAATCACAATGCTATATGATTTACCAGCTTACACTAATGAGATCCCTGATCAAATTTCAGCCACACAAACATTTCTGGTACAGGAATTATTTACCTACATACCAATCAAGCCATTTTCAGATGTATATTATCATCTTTATAGAGTCAGTGGGCTCTTTGTTTTCCAAATTGACTTTTCAAATTTCTGGTTTTGTAACTTGAAGGATTTTTTTAAGCTTAAGGTTAAAAAAGAAAAAACTGCAGAAAAAGAGGAAAAAAGTTACTCATATGAGTGGGAACTCCTAATTAAAGTAAATCCATTTGCCTGCTACCTTTAGGGCATCCCTTTCACTTAAAATAATAGCTAAACTCTCCTGACTTCTATTTTAAAGAGGTTTATAAAAATATAAAAAAGAAGAAAGCTACAACTAAACAACTAATTAAAAAGAAAATTTCATCCAATGCTGTAACCCATCACACATTCACAAAACAGGAACCATGTCAAAGTACTAAATACAAGTTACATATGGACTTTAAGACGCACCACGGACAATGATCATGACCAGGTAATCTTCTTCAGATTTGGCCAGTGCCTTGGCAGGGGAATCCAGGAACTGCTGGGAGAACTCACAGGGTGGGAAGGCATGAAGGACTCCGGTGTTCTCCTTGTCTTTGTTGCCCCCCACAGGGAGGCTGATCACCCCAGCGGCCTGCTTTTGCTTTAAATAGGACACGAGGTTCCTAAGTGGCCTCTGAGTAGAGGTGGCAGTGTCTGAGGTGGCCGAGGAAGAGGAGGACCTGCTATCAGAACTTCCAGGCACAGCCAGAAGAATAGCATAACCATTGGGCCCTGCCACTTTGATGCGTCGAGTTACTTCATCCAACTTGGGCTGGTCCAAACGAAGACGCTGAGTGATTTTGAGCTGGGCCACTTTGCCTCCAGTTGAGCCCTCCACAAGAAGACTACTAGCCACCTGGAGGTCACCCTGCAACAGATGCATGTTGGAAGGAAAGTTGCTGTTCTTCAACAGAAGCATGCCCTGCCAGGCCAAACAGAGTTTGGGAGAGGCTGCTGCTGCAGGGGCTGTCCCCCCATCCTGTTTCTGGGAAGGGGACTTCAGCTTCGATGAAGCAGTGCTGGTGCTGGGTGCACTCCCATCAGACCGGTCTTCTTTTTTCAGAGGGCTTTTTCCCTCAGTGGAAGCAGCTGTCCGGTGCTTCCTATCCCGTTCAGCTGATGCAGAGTTTTTACGGTCTCGCTTGTCACCCTGGCTCTTCTCCAAACTACCTCGTCGGTCTCTGATTGGAGAGGGCCTTTCCAAGAGAAGACGGGAAGATCGATCATTGTCACTGTTGTAGCGATCCCGGCTACTGCTCAGTTCTGGACTGCGGTCAGGAGAAGGTGCACAATGACGTTTTCGTGGACGGTCACTCTCCGGGGACCTATCCAGATGCCGTCCCCCACTCTCCTCAGGCAGCCTTCGCTTCCTAGGTTGGTCTCTGCTGCTGGGCAGATCTCGATCACCTCTGTCCCGGTCCAAGGACCAGCCATCCCGCCTGCGATCCAAGCTATCCAGTGGCTCATAAGCAGGCACAGCAGTAGCTGCAGTCCGAGTGCTGCGTTCACGAACTGGGGGCGGGGGTGGCACCCAATCGGAGTCAGGATAAAGGTCCCTATCACGATCTCTGTATAGTAAGGGTGGTGTCCTGTCCCGAGCACCCCTCAAAGGGTCAGGTGCCCGGTGTCCAAAAGCATCTGTCACCAGTTCATAATGAGTTAAGGGCAGAGGCTGCAGATATTGCTGCTGGTAACGATGTTCTGTGTCTGCAAAGTCTACTCTAAGGCGACGATCTGGGCCACCAAGTGGGAAGCCCCGCATATGGGTCCAGGCAGCATGAGCTGCATCCAGGCTTTCGTACTGGATATACGCCCAACTATCACCTTTGCGGTAGTCAATGGTGCGTATGGTGCCAAATCGGTCAAACTCCCGTGCCAGGGCAGCAAGAGGCACCCAAGGACCCAGGCCACCTACCCAGAGGCGGGTGGTGGGTGTAGCTTTGCCATAACCAATTTTTATAGGATTCCGAATTATAATTTTGCCAGACATTGCTAGTTTGGCCCGGTGAGACATGTCTAGGTTCTCAAATTTGAGAAAGCCATAGGTACTGGTCTGGCCCCGAGAAGGCCTCTTGATATCTACTTCTGTGATGACTCCGAAACGGTCAAAAGCCCTTCTTAGATCACTCTCTGTCACAGTGATGTCTAGGTTGCCCAAGAAAAGCGTCCGGTTAGCGCGCTGATCATCCTCGGGTGAGATCTCATCCACTTCTCTGAAAGGAGCAGCACCTGCTCCAGCTCCCACCCTTGGCTCCAGACTGTAGGCTGGGCGTACTCTCTCATAGAAGTAGTCTCGCTCCCTCTCCAGGTCTCGGGGCAATGGTGGCGGAGGTGGAGGGGGCAGGCGGCCAAGAGCCAACTGCTGCAACCGGTAGTCTCTGTATCCCAAGGCTGCGCCACCAGGGGAAAGTGATCTCTGGCCTCCACCTCCTCCTCCAGGGGGGTGCCGGTGACCACCTACAGAGGACCCGACAACACTGGCTGATGGAGGATAAGAATCTTTGTCTAAAGGGGAGCGGCTGCGGCGCCGGCTCACATACACAGCTTCTATCTTCAGGGGCCGGTCATAGAGCACTAGACGGCCTCTGGCATGCTTGGCCGCCCGCGCGTCCTCTGGCCGCCGGAAGTTCACAAAGGCTACTCGCTCATCCCCGCTGCCAGAACCCGAGAGATGACTGATTTTGACACTTACATCACCGAAGCGTTTGAACTCGTGAAACAGTCCGTCCTCCACCGCTTCGTCACTCAGCTGAGACCCCAACTCGCTTATCTTCAATGTTTTGTATTCCCCGCCGTCCCCGCCGCCAGGAGCTGAAGAGGCGGCCCCAGAGGAACGTGACTCCCCGCCTCCACCCCGGGAGCTGCTGCGCGACTCGCCCCCGCCCGAGGAATTTTTGGTGCTTGGGGAGCTGTAACTATGCAAGCGGCTACTGGAGCTGCCCCCACCGGTGTCGTACTCGCGGCTACCACCTCGGCTGCTAGACTTGTCCAGATGAAGGCTGCGCCGCGACCCGCCGCCGCCGTCGGTCTTTCCACTGCTGCTCCCATTGCTGCCACCAGAGCCCCCTAACTTCTTGCTCCGCTCCCCGCGGGAAGTCGAGTCCTCACTAGCACGGGAGCGTTTCGGCTTGACTGGGGAGCGCTCTTTTCCCTTCATTGTAGCGGGTCGTCGGAGGTCTTCTCCGCGAAACTGACTAACCCGCCGCCCCGCGCTCGTTTCACACAGCGGAACCGCACGCCGCCATCTTGGACTCCGCCGCGGCAGATGTTCCCGCCCCGCAGTCTTCATTGGTCAAATAGCTCCTCTCTTCTACAGTCTCATTGGGAAAACTATTTGTCTGTCTTTACATCTCCCCGCGCTCCGGGAAGGCGCCCGCCCGACCACTGTTATTGGGTTCCCAACGCCCTAGTCAGAGTACCTCATTGGTTATATTCGTTGTCCATCTTAACGGTTCCTCGCGCCAGACTGTAGCTCCGCCCCCCGCACTCTATGGTCACCTGACCCGAAGTCTGGAGGCGTTGATTGGACAAAAAGTCTGCCCTGTAACGGTACTTCTTGCACGGTGAAAGCGGTGATCCCACCTCCTCATTCCTTTCATTGGCTTACGACCCCGTCCTTTAGCCTACTATTTGGGAAGTCGGGCCATATGTTCTAGCATTTTTTTCTGAGAGGCCGGGTCACTGCGATCTCGCGAGAGAGACAGTGAGAGACAGAGAGAGAGAGAGAGAGAGAGAGACAGAGAGAGAGAGAGAGAGAGAGAGAGAGAAAGAGAGGGGGAGGGCTCCCTCCTTCTACCCCCTTCTTCCAACTCCTCCGGCGGCTTAAAGAAGTTTAAATCTGATTGGACGTTGACGAGGAAATTGATAGGCCGAAATAACTGTCCATCACTCGCTTAAAGGGGTAGGCCCATACACTGAGGCTGCCTGAAGGTGAAAGAGTAGAATACGCGCTTGCTCTGCGACGTCAGTTAGACGTCGCGAGACGGTGACCATAAGCCAGTTCCGCCTCCACACGCTTTCTGCGTTCTCCTCTCCAACATTTGTTCGGTCCCGCTGCGTACTTGGTTGTGCTTTGGTCCTCGGACCTCAGAACTTCTGGGCTTCCTACTTCCTACCTGTGTGGGACAAGGGTCTGGGCAGGCTCTCCGGCTGTCGGGACCCACGAGCCCTTCAGGAAGCCGTCGCGGGGCGCCCACCGGACACCATCTTAGCCCCTCTGGCCTCTGCGTGAACAGCCTGAAAAAGCCCCACCCCACCCCCATGCGCCAGAAAGCGCTCTGGGGCCCGCGGGGCAGGTGGGCGGGGCCGGGAGTTCACAGTTCACAAAGCGCTGGCTCACACTAACGTCAGGGGCGGGGCGGAGGCAGGACGTGGGCTCTGAGGGACCCGCGTCGACGACGCAGCGGAGCCGGGGCGCAGCCCTGGCTCGGGAGCCGGCCTTCCTCTGCGTGTTCCGTTTTCGCCTGAGTGCCCCCAGGCAACCCAGGAGAGTCACTGAAGCTCCCAGTTTCGCCGCCCGAGGGCGAGGTGGGGACTGTCAGGCCACGGCGGAGGGGTCAGGGCTTCCTGTTTTGTGTTGCAAATTCACGTGGATTTGGGGTTTTGTAGTCCCATAATAGAGCTGCGTTTGTTTTTTATATGTAGTATCCCTCCCTGTTGAATAATCGAGTGCAATTTACGCTCCATGCAGATGTGTCGCGTTTTTTTCTGTGGCTTCTTGTACGTCACCCCACCCCGGGTTAGTCTATACTATAACCCAGTAGAACAGCCACCTTTCTGTCTCTAAACCCATCTCTTTTAGTTCTTTCAATCGTTAACCGCTTTAAAACCCAACTTTCTTTCCACAGACCTTCATCGTGTCAGACGATAAAGCACTTGCGCGAGGTGCTGGAGACCAAGATGATAACAGGTACAGCCTCTGTCCGGCCGCCCACCGTCTGGTGAAGGGAGGTAGTGCTGAGTTCATCACAGGGGTTAGGTTTCTGCAGTCCTCCCCGATATCCTCCGGGCAGAGGTTAAGAGGGTTCTTGTATTGATCCTCTCAACCACACCTCTCAAGATCCTATCTGTAAGGAGAGAATGTGAGATATTTTTTAAAGGCATTTTTCAAGGTAACAGGGTCCCCCAAACTGAAACCTAAACTTGAAACTTTTAAGATTAGGGACTGCAACCTGTTTACCCCAGGCTTAGCCATCCTTTTTATTAAGTAATCTTGAGGAAGGTGAATATATTAGCCTTTTGTCTCTTGATTACATCAAAAAACTTGAAAGAAGCCCAGTATGTGAAAGCATATCTATGATATTGTATTGTATAGATACAGTCATTGTATTAAAACCAGATAGTGAAATAACTTCATGAGACATAGTACGATGTGTATAATATGCTACAATTTGTGGTTTAAAAAAGTGATATACCTGTATATGTGTTTGTACATTTTTTAATATATATTCATAGAAACTTAATTGAGAATACTTAGGAAGTTGTTACTGAGATCATGCTAAGGAGGGGGCTAGGTGGAAAAAGACAAGTTTTCATTCTATACCTTTATGCATTATTAAAAGAAAACTTTTATTTACCATGTGCATGCTATTGCTGTTTCATTGTTTTCAAAATAGCAATTATTTTTAGCTTTCCTTAAAAAACTTTTTATGGAAAAACTAAAAACTATACAAAAGTAGAATGCTATAAAGAATTCTCTTGTGCCCAACACCCAATTTCAACAGTTTTCAAATCATGTCAATCTTGTTTCATCTACACTGTCCTCTTGCTCTTCCCCCTCTTCATTATTTTGTTCCAGGCTTATCTGCCCCTGACATGGAATCAGCCATTTCTCCTAGGGGTTCTGGTTCCTTTTAGTGGGAAATGATACTTACAGATAGAAATTTGGATGCTAGGGAATTTTAAAAAACACATTATTCAAAAGAAAAAACTTTGCATAGCTAGGGGGTTTCAGTTTTCATCTGTTTCAAGGTTATAGTAACACAACACAAAGTTGAAGTTAAGCCATTATCTGATTACTTTCATCAGTGTTATAGCCAATCCAAATAAATCAGGTTCCAAGGTGACTATTTTTGGCCTAAATTGACCTGCTTAGATGACTCACTGATCAAAAAAAAAAAAAGGGGGGACCAAATGAGTATAGTTTCCCAAATCTCATCATAGGGACTGAGGGTGCACAAGAATTGAGGGAGAGAAGTCAGAGAGCAATACCAGTATGTGTGGCAGTGCCTGAGGCTCTGCTAGATTTAGTGGCTTGCCATTTGAAATACTAGGGAACTTGATGGAAGATACTGCCCACATGTGGCTGCAGTAGGAAGGCTTATCTAAGGGGTGGGGGAGCTGACAGCCTGTCTGGTATCAAGAGGACTGGTAAGTTTAACGGGTAGACAGAAAAGGAGTGGATTCTATTATCAATAACAGAGCCAAAATATAGCCTGTTTGTGTGTGTGTGTGTGTGTGTGTGTGTGTGTGTGTGTGTGTGTGTGTGGGGGGGGGACAGAAGTG